CACAATTAAAAAAAAAAAAAAAAAAAAAGATCTCCAACAGCTCTGATAAATGTCTATTTATATGTTTAAACCTTTCTTATGACCATTCATTCATTTATCCACATTTTTCTAATTATGTTTGGATATAAACCCTTCTTTCTCCCTCAATAGGACTCTGACTTTGCCTACTTGGTTCTTGTCCTTTCTTGCCCATTTCAGACAAGGTTAGGGCATGGCTATTTTTCAAAGGCTTTTCAAATGATTCTGATATATGCTTAACTTTATCCAGTTCTTTTTAGAGAGAACTATCATAGTGTTTCTGTATTTCAGTATAATATTTTAAAAGGTTTATCTTGACATATTTATGGTTAAGATAAAGAATACGATAGCACAATTAAGTAGATTTGAAACTGATGGTCTCAATATCAACCAGACAGAAGGATTTAATTAACATGCACATGGCTCCATTCCTGATCCTATTCTTCAAATATTTTTTAATCAGTGACCAACAACAGTAACACATATCAATAACAGCAATAATAAATATTAATTGAGAACTTAGAAAGAGCCAGGCACTACTGCAAGCACTTTACACTATTTAACTTTAATTTAATCCTTTTTTAATTTAAATTTAAATTTAATTTAATCCTTATAAAAATTTGTAGGGTAGAAACTTTTCTTATTTTCCCATTTGGCAAATGGCCATGGATCAGAGAAGTTAAGTAATTTTTCCAAGGTCGCTTAGCTACTATGTCATGGTTTTGAACTCAGGCAGTCTGGCTCCAGATAATCTTGTCCACTGTGCATCTCATATGAAGATAAGTGAGCAGGTCAAGTGAACATGTCACAGGCAGCTGGGAGATATGGCTAATTATGGCCTAAGGCATTTGACTGCTAACCAGAAGGCTGGCAGTTCAAACCCACCAGCCACTCCTTGGAAGGAAGGTTGGGCAATCTATTTCCATAGTGATACTGCCCCGGAAACCCAAGGAGGGGTCACTATGAGTCAGATGCAACTCGATAGCAGTGAGCTTGGTTTTTGGAAAGTTTAATATTATGTTGTAATGACAGAAAAAAAGAAAAAAAAAACCTTCCAATTTCACAAACACAGAAAAGAGAGATGTGTTGTATGAAAAATGAATTAGGGATCTTGGCTGCCTCCAAGTGCAATGTAAGGCCACAGTGTGGCATGACTGACAATAAATGAATGCTATCTGTGGTGCTTTTAAATATAACCACAAATTTTCCTCCCATCAAGAGGTAGAAACTAAATCTCCTTCTGTTCAGTGTGCACTGAAGTTAGTGACTTATTTCTAATGAACAGATTAAAGTAGAAGTGACAGTGTGCAAATCTGAAGACTAGATAATTTCTTTCTGTTGGATTGCTCACTCGGGGGAAGTGGCCACGTCGTGAGGACTCTCAAATAGTCTATGGAGAGGCCCACATGGTGAGAATTAAGATCTGCTAACAGCCAGGGAAGAACTGGGACTTCCCGCTAACTGCCATATTAGTGCTCCATCTTGGAACCAGATCCTTCAACCCTAGTCAGGCTTTCAGATGACTGCAGCCCCTCGACATCCTGAATGCAATCACATGAGAGATCCTGAGTTAGAACCTCCTAGCTACGTCACTCATAAATTTCTGATTCACAGAAAATGTGAGATAATATGTGCTGTTTTAGGCTAACATTTTGATTAATTTGTTATGCAAAAATAGATGATCTTAGGTGACATTAAGAGTTACAGTATTTAGAATAGCATCTGCTATACTGTGAGTGTCTAAGACCATGTAGAAAAATGTATTCAGTTCAAGGTCCATTTTCAGGCATATAGACCAACTGGGGTGAGTTCAGGAGAGAAAGACTAGGATTTATGGAGACTTAAATCACGTTATATAAGGAACAGTGGAAGGAACTGGGGATATTTTGTTTGGAGAATTGAAAACTGAAAGGAGATATGAAAGTTGTTTTTAAGTATCTGAAAATTTCCATGTGGAAGAAGTTGCATGTGTTCCTTCTGTGTTTAGGGAGTGGACATTAAAGTGGAATGCAAAAGGGTAGAAGTTACACTCAATATAAGGAAAATATTTGTTTTACATGATAGAGCTGTTAGAAGACTGGATGGCCAACACCGGGAAGAGTGAGTTCTCTGTTAGGAGTGGAATGAATATTTATTGGTTAAAAGGTGTCTGTCAAGTGACCAGCCTTGGATTGAGTTGTTGGCCCAGGCAACCTGGGAGCTCCTTAAAAGTCTGAGACTTCATTCTTTTTTAAAAATTTTATTTAAGTGCCTTTTATTGAAATATAATTTATGTACAGTGAAATGAAGGAGCTCTGGTAGCATAGTGCCTAAGGCACTTGACTGCTAACCAGAAGGCCGGTGGTTTAAACCCACCAGCCACTCTTCGGAAGGAAGGTTGGGCAATCTACTTCCGTAGTGATACTGACTTGGCAACCCAAGGAGGGGTCGTTATGAGTCGGGGCTGACTCGACAGCACATAACAACAACAACAACAGTAAAATGAGACCTCATTCTTGTAACTGTGCATTCTTTTCTATTTGTTGTTGTTGATTCTGATGCACAGAAACCCTGTGTGACAGAATAGAATGGTCCCATAGGGTTATCTTGTCTGTAATCTTTATGGAAGCAGATCATCAAGTCTTTCTCCTTCAGAACCAGTGGGTGGGTTCAAACTGCCAACCCTTCAGTTACCAGCCAAGTGCTCAACAAGTGCATGTACCACCCTTTTCTATCTAGCAGAACCAAAACAAACCAAACTCACTGCCATCGAGTCGGATCTGACTCATAGCGACCCCTCTTTGGGTTTCCAAGGCAGTATCACTATGGAAGTAGCTTGCCCAATCTTCCTTCTGAGGAGTGGCTTGGTGGGTTTGAACCGTCAACCTTCTGATTAGCAGTCAAATGCCTTAGGCACTGTTGTTGTTGTTATTTGCCGTGGAGTTGGACCCAACTCACAGAGACCCCTCCTTGGGTTTCCAAGGTGGTATCGCTATGGAAATAGATTGCCCAACCTTCCTTCCGAGGAGTGGCTGGTGGGTTTGAACCACCAGCCTTCTGGTTAACAGTCAAGTGCCTTAGGCACTATGCTATCAGAGCTCCTCCTTAGGCACTATGCCACCCTAAATAAAATATTGTCACTTCCCTCCTTTCAGCCTTCCAGTAGCATCCCATTGTCCTTCAAAGAAAATCCAATGTCATTACACTCATGGCCCATTGCACTTGGCTTATTCCATTTCTGTGATTTAAACCTGCTTTCTCTCTTCAACATGAAGCATAGTGGTGCAGTGCCTAAGACATTCTTTGGATGTTAGCCAAAAGGTCAGTGGTTTGAACCCACCAGCAGCTCCATGGGAGAAAGATGAGACAGTCTGCTTCCATAAAGCTTTATAGCCTTGGAAATCTTATGGGGCACTTCTACTCCCTCCTACAGGGTCACTATGAGTCAGAATTGACTCGATGCCAGTGGGTTTCTCTCTTCAACATCCTCTCATACCATACTCCTCCCCCACTTATTAAACTCCACCTGCACTGCCCTTCTTTCTGTTCCTCAAACATGAAAAATCTTTTTTTTTTTTTTTAAATTATGATTTGGGTCAAAGTTTGCAGAGCAAATTGGGTTTCCATTCAATATTCCATACACATTCTGTTTTGTGACATATACTACAATCCCCACACTATAACAGCATTCTTCCTACTTCCTCCCTGTGTCCACTCCTTCTCTTTATCCTTCCTCCCCATCCCCTCCCGTTTTCCTAGCACTATCCCTAGGCAAATGCTGTCCTCTTGATCTCATATGCTTGATTTATCTAATGAGTGCTCTCCCTCTTGATATTACTGTTCTTACAGGTGTGTCTATCATTTGGCTGCCAGCTGAGTCATGGGGATTAAGTTCAGTTCCTAGCTTGAAGGGTGTCTAAGGGCTACAGTCTTGGAGGTCTCACCAGTCTTCATCAGATCAAAAGCCTGGGATTTTTTATGCTTTTGAGTTTTGTTCCACATTATCTCCCAGTCTATCTGGAACTTCTAATTGTAATGCATTTCAGAATGGTCAGCAGTGGTAGCCACAAACTATCTAGTTCTGGTCTCAGGGTCCTGGAAGTTGGGATCACGTGCTTCATTTGTACTTTGGACTAATTGCTTTTCCTGTGTCTTTGATTTTCTTCACTCTTCTTTGTTCCAGACAAAGGAGAGACCAATAGCTGCCCCTTAGAGAGCTGCTCACATCTTTTAAGCTCCCAGTTGCTACTCACTAACAGGATGTAGAACATTGTCTTTGTGGACCGTGTTATTCCACTTGCCCTTAGTGTCCTCTGAGACTCAGTCCTGAGCCTCCATACCCAGCTACTCATTTCTTCAAGGTGTTTGGTTATGACTAAGACATTTTCGTAACTTTGCCTTCTGTGTGCTATACTATTCATAGATATATTTGCAGCAAATATAAACACATAGGTAAAGGTAACCTTTGGGAAACCTATATCTGTTTGTGGATGTAGTCCCATTGGCTTTCCCACCCCTGTTCAGCTTAAGAATCTATCTATGCATCCAATTGTAAATTACTGTTATTACTATTATTGCAGGGTTGTACGTGCAATAGTATTTGCCTTTGTTGCCTTTAACTCTTGTATGAAAGCGTTTACACTTGCTGTTCACTCTACTTAGACCACACTTATCCCAGATCCTAGCAAGGCTGGTGCTTGCCCATCATTTAGGTTTCTCAGCTAAAGTAGCTTCTGCTCCCAGTCACTATCACATTAACCAAAACCAGTTGAGTTGGTTCTGACTCACAATGATCCCATGTGTGTCAGAGTAGAACTGTGCTCCATGGCATTTTCAATGGCTGAGTTATCAGAAACAGATCACGAGGTTTCTCTTCCTAGGTGCCTCTGGGTGGACTTGAACCCCCAATTTTTTGGTTAGCAGCCAAGCACATACCATTTGTACTACATTTGCTCCAATGTTACACTTTTATTATCTCTACAGAACTTACCACTATCTGAGACAATCTTATTTGTTTATTCATGCATGGCTCACCTTCCCTCCCCAATCTAACTAGAATATAAGCTCTATGACAAAAGGAACCTTGCCTGTTTTGTTCACTACTCTATTCCCTGGAGACTAACAAGGTTATGGACACGTTCTTGATTAAGACTTGCTAAAAATCATCCTATATTTGAAGGTATTGAATTCCAATGGGATTAAATCTTTTTTTGACACTACATATTTTTTTTTTTTTTTAATTGTGATTTGGGTGAAGATTTACAGAGCAGAATCACTTTCCGTATAGCAGTTCACATACACTTTGTCTCATGTCATTGACCACAGTTTACCACAATGCAACAGCTCCCTTCCCACTTCCTCCCCATAGTCACCCCTTTCCAGTGTCCATCCCTCCATGCACTCCTGCCCCCTGAGCTGTCTCCCTGTGCATAAGCAGCCCTTCTTTCTCCCATGATT